TTATCTATTCATCAAAGTAGCCGTATCGAACCGTGGAGAAAAAATAACGGATTGGGAATTTGTTTCTCAGAAATGGTGTAATTGTAAAAAATATCGTTTCATTCGGCATGAATTAATATAATTAAATTGTTCACATAGAAGCTTATTTGCCCTATACAAAGGAATCGTTTTTCTAAAAACAACCTCAGCAACTGCTAAACACCTGCTGATGAAGCGACACTACGTTGATTGTGAACAAATATGTTCGGGATAGTTCGCAGGAATGATCATGCTCCGTTGCTCAGGCTCACTGAGATGGTTACAATCACGATGCTTTCCTCGTGCATTAGATCTGCTCTATCCCATTCCCAAATCTGTGATCTTTATGGTCCCATACGATCCGTACTATGGTGTACACGAACCAAGCAGTTTTCTACAGGAAACACCAGTATCAACGATGGGGAATTGTCTCGAACATAAATCGTGCAATGTTATATTCGATCAGGTTTGATTTTTGTACATATATCCGGAAAAAAGACAATGTAACAAAACGTTTAAGACAAACGTTGATTGTGGAGATTAGGTATTTGAAAAACAATGACCGGATAATTCTTTTTATCGGTAAGTGCATCTCATCTCATCTTTCAACAGACAATATCTTTATTCCTATTGTACTCTAAGCAAACGGCTTTTCTACTCTATTTGTAATGTTTTTGACCGTTTCATTTTGTTATGGTCTAGAGAACTAGAGCGAGACAGAGACAGACAGAGAGAGAATGTTTTGTTGCTCTGAGATTAACCGGTCTCAAGTTCTATGCACGGATACCTACCTCCTACCCCGCCGTCAGTTCTATACCATATGCAATTGTTTATTCATCTTACAGTCCGATTCAATCACAAGACGAATCGAAACGTTTGCATTTCGAAGTTTGGGATTGGGATCGAGCGTCGCGGGATGATTTCATGGGTGCTTTGTCGTTTGGAATAACGGAATTATTGAACAAATCGGTCGACGGCTGGTTTAAACTTCTCAGTCAGGAGGAAGGCGAGTACTATTCAATTCCCTGTCTGTCGGAGACCAATCAGCCGTCATTTGCCCAACTGACATCTCAGTATGAGGTGAGTATATCGCGGGCAGGTGATATGTTTTTCGAACCGATTGTCAACCAAACGGGGGTTTTGTTATCATCGCAAGCAATGTGCCTGACCGGGACAAATGGTTTATTACATAGACTACAAACAAAAACATACAAACCAAGGTTCAGCCACTTTCTAATTCCCAAAAATAAATTTATTGATAATAATAGAGGCCTGCGGTATCCCTGGGGATGGGTGGAGTATTAAGTACCGAATAGCCTGTGGACAACATCCCTTTGAAATTCGAGCCAAATCTGCCCTGGTTTGAGTGACGATCTACCTAGTGGTCAAACAAAATTTGGCACTAGTAATAAGATAACGGAAGCTACGTACTTTCAGTGATATAAACAAAGCACACAAAATTTTCGCGAAAACAGAGACTCCCAACTCCATTTCAGAGTATTGAGATAGAAGTTCCTTTATTTCAAATCACCTGAGCCGTTTCTGGCCGGTCCATCAATCAATCGGTCATTAGGACAGTCAGCCAGTTATGCAGTCAGTCAGTCAGTCAGTCAGTCAGTCAGTCAGTCAGTCAGTCAGTCAGT